AAAAGCAACATAATTATAGATGTGGAGTGATTTTTAGAATGATGAGAATATTATGAACAAATGAATGCCAATATATTTGAGTATCTAGATGAACTAGATGCTTTTATATAGGAAAAGAGAAATCACAAAAATTGTCTTGAGAAGAATATTTTTTTTAATTAACCACAACCGAAATTGAAAAGGTGGTCAAAATTTTAGTCCTCTAAAAGGCTAGATCCAATATATTTATGTTTGCTATTTGCCAAAATATCAAAGAATAAATCATTCCTATGTTACGTAACCTTTCCAGGAGTAAAAATGGGTAGGAAACCTCTTTCTGTAAGACTAACATACGGCTGGTACCAATAAGAAAGGGAAGAAAGTAAGAAATATAGATATAAAAATGTGTAGACATAACTATCTTTGGTTACAAACAACAGGCTAATCCAACTAGAAAACCCAGGCAAAGCACCTCAGAAGCCTTTATAACAATTAAAAGGATCAGGAAGGTGACCATTAACAAAGGAAAACAATCACTTTCATGTACCGATAATGTACTAGTCTGGGCAGCCTACTCTAACACCATAAACGGAGTGGCTCAAACAGCAGACATTTCTTTCTCACATTTCTGGAGGCTGGAAGTCCAAGATCAAGGTTTCATGATTCTGTTCCCGGTGGGAGCCTCTTCCTGGCCTGCAGGCGGCGGCCTTATCGTCGTGTCCCCGCTTGGTAGAGAGAGAAGAGAGCGCCAGTCTCCCTTCCTGTTCTTATAAAGATGCTAATCTCATCACGAGGCCCCAGGCCCATGACCTGATCTAAACTTAAGTGCCGGCCAATGCTGTCACATTGAGGTTTGGGGCCGCAACATACAAATTCTGAGGGGACTCATACATTCAGTCCATGACAGGTAATAGCTGATCCGTAAATATAATAAATGAGCTCATAAGCTATCACTTTTCCAACATGATACTGCAAGTTTTATCCAATGCAATAAGATGAGAAAAATAAACCAAAGGGTAAGAATTGGAGAAGAAAAAAATTAAATGCCAAAAAAATTGATTTTGCCAAACTCAACAACAAGAAAATGAACAATCCAATTTAAAAATGGGCAAAGGACTTGACATTCCTCAAAAAAAAAAGATAAGTGAATGAACATAGGAAAAAATGTTCAAAATCACTAATCATCAGGGAAATACAAACCAAAACCACAATGGGCTAGCACCCCACACCCATCAGGATGGCTGCTATCAGAAAAACAAGCGCTGATGAGAATGTGGAGAAATTGGAACCTTTGTGCATTACGTGTAAGAATGTAAAATGGTAACAGCCACTGTTGAAAACTGTACGACGGTTCCTCAAAATATTAAAAATAGATTAAAAATACCATATGATCCAGCAATTCCAGTTGTGTGTAGATACCTAAAAGAATTGAAAGCAGGGTCTCAAAGAAATATTTGTACACTTCTGTTCATGGCAGCAGCATTCACAGTAGCTAGATCATGGAATCAACTGTAGGTCCATCAAGAGAAGGATGGAAAAAGGAAAACGTAGTTATACCACAGTGGAACATTATTCAGCCTTAAAAAGGAAGGAAATTCCGACACCTGCTTCCACATGGATGAAACTTGAGGCCATTATGCTCAGTGAAAGAAGTCATAAAAGGACAAGTTTTCTGTCTGATTCCACTCACATGAGGTACTTAGTCAAAATCATACACACAAAGTATAATGATGGGTGCCAGGCATTGGGGGGAGGGGAGGAGTGTTACTGTTTAAGAGGCATAGATTTTCAGTTTTACGAGATGAAAAGAGTTCTGGAGATGGATGGTGGTGATGGTAGGACAGCACTGTGGGTGTGTTTAATGCCACCGAACTGTACACTAAAAATGGTTAAGACGGCCAATTTTATGTTGTGTGTATTTTACCACAAGTTTAAAAAGAAAATATGTAAATAAAACATCTTTTAAAAAGCCGATTGCTATGTGACTATACAAGAGAAACCACAGAATAATAAGAGAGTTCAGCATATCTTCTATATATAAAGTCAATAGTATTCTCTCCACATCTGTTGCAAACAGAAAATATAACTTTTTAAAGGTGCCATTTATAATAGCAACATTTTATTTGTTTATTTTAAGTAAACTACCTAGAAAAAAATCTAACGAAAGATGTATATAGGGAAATTATAAACTTTTATTAAAAGACATTTTAGAAGTCCTAAATAAATGGAGAGATGGATCGGGTTCATGGTTAGGAGACGTAATAGCAAAAAGATGTCAAATTCCTCTAGTTAATCTATACGTTGATGCAATTCCAGTAAGAATGTCAGTGGGATTATTCATAGAACTTAACAAGCTGATTCTAATGTGTCTGTGGAATCGAAAAGGAAAAGGAAAGGGAAAAGCCAAGACAGCTTTGCAGGACAGCAGGCTGGAAGCACTGACTCTCTGTGTGAGATCAAGACTTGCTGTAAACCTGGAGTGATTAGGACAGCGTGGTACATTGAAGTCAAGACAGATGAATAAACCTATAGGACAGAACGAAGAGGCTGGCACAAGACTCATACACATATGGAAATGTGATTTATGTCAGAAGAGCTATTTCACATATGTAGGTAAAGGTGTACTATTCAATAAACTGTATTAAGAAAGTTGGTTATCTAGACAGAAAAAGATACAGCATATTTCTACCTCATATGGAGCCCCCATATAAATTCCATATTAATGGGTTATTATGAAATTATTATGAAAAACAAAACTTGGGCCTTTTAGAACGTATTGAAGAATATTTTTATGACCTAGAATAGGGAAGGATTTTTTAGACAAGTTGCGAAAAGCACAGAACAGAAGAAAAATTATGATATGACCACATTAAAATGTAAAACTTGGATTAATCACAATATACCATCAGTAAAGCTGGAAACGAGCCACAGACTGGAAGACACTGCTTGCAGTGTGTATAACTGACAGAGGATTAATATAAAGAAAGTATAAAACCCTACAAATGAACAAGAAGACAAATAGCCCATGAGACAGACGGGCAAAAACATGAACTTGAGATTCAGCAGATGAAATAAAATTTCTCAGCCTATTCATCATTCTAAAACCAAATTAAAACAACAGTGAGTTATCATTTTATACCCATCATATGAGCAACCTTTTTTTTTATTTATTTTTTTATTTTTGGCTGCGTTGGGTCTTTGTTGCTGTGCACGGACTTTCTCTAGTTGCAGCAAGCGGGGGCTACTCTTCGTTGCGGTGCACGGGCTTCTCATTGTCGGTGCCTTCTCCTGTTGCAGAGCACGGGCTCTAGGCGCGTGGGCTTCAGTAGCTGTGGCACGCATACTCAGTAGTTGTGGCTCGTGGGCTCTAGAACGCAAGCTCAGTAGTTGTGGTGCATGGGCTTAGTTGCTCCGCGGCATGTGGGATATTCCCGGATCAGGGTTCTAATCCATGCCCCCTGCATTGGCAGGCGGATTCTTAACCACTGTGCCACCAGGGAAGTCCGAGCAACATTTTTTAAAATTCACTAATACCAAGAGTTGACCAGTCTAAATTCAGAATAGAAAAGTGGTCACGGGGGGGTGGGGGGCATGGGGTGGGGAGGGACTGGTAAAAGGGCACAAACTGTCAGCCATAAGGTGGATGAGGTCTGAGGTCTAACCTATAACATGGTGACCATAGTTGATGACACTGATCGTATCAGTGAAACTTGCTAAGACAGTAGAACTTAAATGTTCTCGCCAAAGAAAAGAAAAGAAAAAATTTTAAAAAAATCTGTGAGGGCATGGATGTGTTAATTAGGTGGCAAGAATCCTTTCACAATGTGCACATCAATCAAGCCATCATGATCTACGCTCTAGCTTGCAGTTTCATTTGTCGATTCTGCCTCAATAAAGCTGAGGAAAGAGCTGCCAGAGTCTGTAGGGCAGCGACGCCAGGAGCGCCAATTGGGCAGGAAAAGCAGCGCTCAGTACGTTAGGGACACACCTGCCGTCCACTGGCAACTCCACCCCGAAGCAGGCGTGTGACGGCCCTGTGTGGTGACTGCAGGCTCCTTCGTGACAGCAAGACAGCAAAGAAAGGAAAACCCTTAACAGGGCGGTGGGGTTTTTTAATGGTATACTCATAGAGGATCTGCCGCAAAGGATGAATGAACCAGAGCTAAAATGTATCCAAGTGGCTAAATCTCAAAACTTAACGTGGATTGCAAAAGGAGGGACTTTGCAGAAAAGGTAGTTATCTTTCACAGAAAGTTTTCAGACGTTCAGAACAATGCCGTATGTTTTCCTATGTAGTGGATGTATCGGCACTGGGGGGCTGACAAACCCCAGACTCAGTTTAGCGGTGGCCCCCCGCCCCGCCCCGCCCCGCCCCGCCCCGCCCCGCCCCGCCCCCGCCCCCGGGAGGAGAGGGAGGGGCCTCGTGAGGAGAGGGAGGGGCCTCGTGAGGAGAGGGCGGGGCCTCGTGAGCCGCTCTGGGGCGTGGTCTCTCCCCAGGTGCGCCACCGGGGAGGCGTGGCAGGACGTCATGCTGGCCTGCATGCCGGGCAAGAAGTGCGCGCCCGGGGCGGAGCCGGGCGGCAGCGCCGAGGGGGAGGCGCCCTGCGGCAGCAGCTTCGCCGTCTTCTACTTCATCAGCTTCTACACCCTGTGCGCCTTCCTGGTGAGCCGGCGGGGCCCGCGGCCTCGGCTAACACGCGCAGCCCAGGCCCAGCCGCGCCCTGCGCCCCTGCGGCTCGCGCTCGGGGCGGCCGCGTCGGGGAGGCCGGCCTAGGGGGCTGCGTCCCTGGGATGGGCCAGCCGCCCTGCAGGGAGGGGGCGAAGCTGGCCCACAGTGAGCTCGGCCAGCATCCTTCGCGTCCGTCCTCAGCTCTTGCCGTGGTGGCATCGTCCGCGAGGACAGGAGGCCGCTTAAACATTTCCGGCACTTTGACAAGGAGCAAGGGAAGGGTGGTGGACAGTCACCCCCGTCCCTGGCAGCCCCGCCTGGCAGCTGGGTGTGAGGGAAGCTGCCTGCCAGCCCACAGGTGGGGTTCACCTGCACAAACCCCAGGGGAGCCGGGTCGGGTCCTCATCCAAGAGAGGCACGTTCCGGCGGCCGGTGTTTTCAGTGGTGCCACTCGGGCGTCTTCAGAAACACTGGCTTCTGCCGCGCGTGGCCTGCTAACCACGTGTGCTGGAAGGGCCTCCGAGGGCATCTCCCCGCGCTCTCCGTTCTCCACAGATCATCAACCTCTTCGTAGCTGTCATCATGGACAACTTTGACTACCTGACAAGGGACTGGTCCATTCTGGGTCCCCACCATCTGGACGAATTTAAGAGAATCTGGGCGGAGTATGATCCTGAAGCCAAGTAAGTCCCCAGAGGGAAACCAAATCCCCAAAGCCGCAAGGGGATTGTGTGACCGCACCTGTGGAAGTGGGTCAAGACGGGTTAGCACTGGTTGGATCCACAGCAAACACTAAACTGCACGGGCCACAAGGGTCGAGGGTCAGGGCCAGCAACAGGAGGGCTTTGGCTGAGTCAAGAACATGCCTGCTGTTTTCAGCTGAACAGGACAGGAAGGCCTAGTGTTGGATAAACCAGTAGGTACTCGAGTCAGGATGTCCGGGGCCAGGCAGATCCTGCCTGCCTTTCTGCCGTAGGTCCATCAATCCAGCCACCACGTTTGGCTGACACTCTGGAAATACCTTTTGGTCAGACGGTTAGTTCACTGAAGCAGGAGTAATATTGAGAATTTCGTTGCCTACTAAAATCCCTTCCACCGTGAACATAGCACTGATGGAAAGTTGCTCCTTAAAATCCTAAACACGTGTACATACTGGTTTTGGAGTTTTGCCGTGCAGTTCTGCAGCTCAGCACCAGTTTCATCACTCGGGTCCAGCCGTGGAGAGTTCCTTCTGCAGGGGGGATCCCCCGCCCTGGGTGCATGAGTCCTGGGCTACTGGCCGAGACCACCGCACTGACCTTCCCCCCCGTTCCTGCCTCTTCTAGGGGTCGCATCAAACACCTGGATGTGGTGACCCTGCTCCGGAGGATTCAGCCCCCCCTGGGCTTTGGGAAGCTGTGCCCTCACCGCGTGGCTTGCAAAGTAAGAGATGAGCTGGGCTCGTGGGAGACACGACATGGGAGGGAAGATGCCTCTTGTGACCTTGGTCGAGACGTCAAGCCTCTACGGGGATGAGGACAGTATTTTATGAGCCTAAAGAAAGGAGCCAGAGCCAGAATAGGCGTTAGGGGTCCTTCCCACAGCGCGTTCTCAGACTCTAAAAGAAACACGGGGTGACACACGCACACGAATTTCGAGGTCCCCCCCAACTTCGGCATCCTCCTGCCTCGGGAGTTCTGTGGGAGGGTCCTTCGGGAACCGGCTGCTGTGATGACCAGCTCTGCCCCCCCCCACCCCGCCCCCAGCGCCTGGTCTCCATGAACATGCCCCTGAACAGCGACGGGACGGTCATGTTCAACGCCACCCTGTTTGCCCTGGTCCGGACAGCCCTGAGGATCAAAACGGAAGGTAAGGTCATCCGGGGGCCCCGGGAGAGCCACCGGGAGACCTAGTGGACCAGCCGGAGCCCAGCTCGGCTCCTGCGGGGTGTCAGAGCCTTAGCCCGGCAGTAACTGTCACCTCTGGGATATTAGCGGTGCCAGGTCTGCTCGTGTGCCCTTTGCTCCTTGAATGGCCTCCTTGCCTGTAGTTTTTAGAGCTCATCCTGGGTGACACCTCAGAGTCCTTGGGTGTAGTTCAGAGAGCAGGAGATGAGTGTTACCTGAAGTGGGGCTGAGCCCCATCACAGTGGGATTTCACTGGCTGCAAGTGGGTCTCAAGCGTTCAACTCTCCTTGCAAGTTAAACTCCTGTGTTTGTCGGGAAGGGGTCAGATCGGACGTGGTGACCGGGGCTGAGGTCAGCCCTCGCCCGCCTGCAGGCAGGTGCTCAGCCAGCCGGCAGGTGGGGGTCAGAGCCCCCGTGCTCCTCATACGGGGCTCCCTCTGGGGGGGCCGTGCTCCCCCGTGTTGCCTGGCGGGAGGGACCGTCTTCCAGGTTGTACGACAGGGGCCTGTGGCCAGCAGCAGCTTGGCTTCGATGACCCGCTGTCCTTACAGCTGATGTGCTCCTGA